AATGAAAAGTGCTATATAAATAAAGCTTGAAGCAGCTCATACCTGTGTACTCAAGTAAAACTGTGAATGAATCACTTGTAACACTAACAACATTTTTTCTGGGATTTTTTTTTTATTTTTTATTTTTTTTTTAAACGTGTGGACAATGTTTAAGTCAAAATCCGTACATGGATATTTTATTGGCTGATTCTAGGTTTGTTTCATACACTCAATTAATTTTAGGTCAACAACATATTGAAAGGATTCATTATTGAGTATTGAGAATACATATTATAGTGTGTAAACAAGCTGCTGCTGAAGATCATGATGTATGATTGAAAGGTCCAGAAGAGCTACTTACAGCTGTCACAGATTTAATACTTTAAATCTTCATTATGGGAAACAACGAGTTAATATGAAAAATTCACATAATTTACTTTATTTTTGGTGGAGTCAGAGACCTTTAAGGACATGGAGTCAAAACCTCTATTTTCAAAACTCTGGCGGCCTAACTGAAAATCTGACTCCTTAATTCCATTTAAAGTAAATCTTAATACAACAGCATACAATTATATTTGTGTGCTTCCAGCTTTGTACTCGTGCATTAATAACTTCTTTTCTGAATAGATCTGTGAATAGGGTCAGTATGTTTCTGAATAATGAACCTCTTTAACAGCGGCCTGACGGTGGATCAGTCTTTACTCACTGACACTGAGCAGACCAACTTTAATCAAACCCATAAGACTTTATTCTGAATTCTAGTAGAGATTCCAAAGATGCCAGATGTGTCAAAATAAAATTATGTTCAAGAAGTCTAAAATATTTGCAGGTGCAGCCAATAAAAAAATATCTTGAGTGTAAACATCATGTTGCTTCAATGAAAACTGGTATAAAATGATTTCAATCAGCCTTAAAGCCACTTAAGTGGGAGTTAAAGGGTAAAAAAACATGTTAATGGTTTTAAATAGCTGTATTCTATTTAAAATGAGCAGTGACTGTGTGACGACGTCCACACCGAACAGTACTACAGTAACAGATCAGTGTGGTCGGCACACAAAGGTCGAGCCTTGGCACATAAACCAGAGGAGGCCTGGGGGACTGAACAAGTGCACCCTTGTGTCACTGCTCTTTCACTGGCCTGCCCGTGGCCTCCCACTATCTCTCTCACACACACACACACACACACACACACACACACACACACACACACACACACAGCGTGCCAACTTTTACACTAAGTTGAGAAACCATTCAGCTCCGGAAAACAGCAGTGGAATTATTGACGCTCAGATTTTTGTTTGGGAACGCTGAAGCTCTGATGTGTTGGCAGGACGACACTCTTTGTGCCTTCTCTCTTTCTTTCCTTCTCCACCACACATCTGTCTGTCTCTCTGTCTCTCTGTCTCTCTGTCTGTCTCTGCCTTTGGAAACCTGCCCAGTACAACAGCTGCCACGAGCAGTGTGTCTGAAGAGGGTTTGGATTTATCCCGTGGCGGGAGTTCACTGTGGGCCAGGTTGCTGCAGTGGAATCCGTCGCCCTTCACACAGCTTATAGATCCTCATGTGGTGGGCAGTCTGTCACCTGGAGGAGCCACTTCACTCACATTTCATTCTGTCCATCAACATCACAGGAGCAAGACGAAGATTTGAAGTTGTTCTGATTTACAGTATGTCATGAAGGAAGATATAGAGTATAGTAGAGAGACTATACAGGATTAAATCCATTCAGTAACAGACAAAAACAAACATCTTGTTCACATTGTTGAACGCTCAGTATTTTTTATATCATACATTGGTCTTGTAAAAGAAGATCATCCCACACACTGCTTAGCATCACAATTTATATGTTAGGATGAGAGACACCGAAACGTCAAGTTTTAATCAATAAATCGTGATGCTAAGCAAGAGCAGTGTGTGGGATGATCTTCTTTTCATGAGTGGACACTTTCCAACGCACATGCATCTAAGACGTTTGGATGTGTGAATATCTCCAGTGAGAAAATTATATCATACATAACACAGTAGCAATAGTTGTGTATTTTGCACCATTTTAAATGCGATCTGCAGTAATCACCAGTATTTGCAAATATCCTATAAAATGTGACTCAATATACAATAATGAAGCCATAATTAATATGTTCAGTGTATGTTAGCTTACAAAGCACCACTAATTATCAACAGCAAATATCATAAAGGTTACAGTGTGTGGGACATTACACTTCATACATGCTGTACATCCAGACATGGCAGCAACGTAAATTCAGATTTTCAGGCCTTTTTTTTTTTGTCTAAAGCAAATGTCAAATACTAAATCTGTGGCAATAACATGCGCACTAAAGCATGCTGCTCAGCAATAAACCCGCAACCATTAGTCTATTAAGCAACTATTCCACCAACAGAGAGCTAATCAGCAGCTATTTTGATAACTGAATAATTGTTTTAGTCATTTTTAGTCATTTTTTGAAGTAAAAGATTCCAACATTTTATTTCTTAAGCTTCTCAAATGTGAACATTTACTGATTTTCTTTGTCCTAACTTTATAGTAAATTGAATATTTGGGGGTTTGGACTGTTTGAATGCTGGATGAGTCATTTCAGGCTCCAGGAAACTATTTTCTGATGTTATATAAAGGCAAAGGCTAATTGATTAATGAGGAAAATAATTGAATAATAAATGAATCAATAATAATAATCAATAATCGTTGGTTGCATCTCTAGTCAGCGTGTAAATGTGCTGCTCTGTAGTAAAAACTTGCACAACACTGATGTGTTCCTTGAGAAGTGGATTTACTGGTGTTAGCTCTTTGTAATGTTGCTTCATGAAGTGAACACAGTCGTCTGGCTGCTGAGAAAGAGCTTGCTGTTTGCAGCTGAAGGATTTACGGACACTGACTTTATTTTTATTTTTTTTTCCCGTCTAACTCAAAAGGAAATTTTTGTTGGATTTCTCCCTCGATGTTCCCGTTTTGAATCCTGTGGTGAAACAATGCTGCATGGCGAACATGTCCTCGTGTTGGATGCTGACATCCTCGACCATGACAGCCTCGTCTGGTCGCTGACACTAACCGTCAGCCGCTCTCGGCTCTTTGAAGCAGCTCCAGACTGTGGCGGGGCGATCAGCGGCTCAAGTATTTGGGAGCTGACTGTGACAGCAGATTCAGATCAGTGTTGACGGTTAAAAGAACTTCACATCACAGTTATGAGTTCTTCGGATGCCAGTTCAGACTTCAGGCTTTTCTGTCTGGAAGATTCTTAAATACACGAGCGACCATCTGCCCTCTCTCTCTGAGTAAAACAAAAAGTTGTGTAACATGGATTTATCCAAATCAGACGGACAAGTTGTGATAATTCCTCTGGATTAATCTTAAAAAACTCACATGTGTCTTGCTCTGTCTCCAGTGTGGAAGACACAAGGTGAAAATCAAAGACGGAGGCAGGAGGGTGGTTGGAGTACAGGGGTGACAGGAGGTGGCTCTGTTAGTATCACAACCTGTGGGTGAGGTGACTGTTCACAGTTTTGCAGAAAAGAGTCAAACAACCACAAAGAAATGCAAAACGTCTTAAACAGAGACGCAAACCAACCTCAGAGTGACGCAAAACAATCTCATTGTGACAGAAAAACAACTTCAGAGACACGAAACAACAACAAAGAGACGCGAAACAACCTCAGTGTGACGTGAAACAACTTCAAAAGAGAAACCAAACAACCTCGGCGTGACGCACAAAAACTACAACAAAATGTCAGAGACACAAAAATACCCAAAACAACCTCCAGTGAATGTAGATATTTCACCTGTTTTGAAACACAACCTAATTCAGTTACAACAGGGTTCTGACAGGATATATTTGGGAATTTGGGGCCACTGTTTAGCTCTATGATAAAATCAGGGCGTTTATCTTGAATCAGGTGATTTAGGTTTAGGGTTAAATCAATGCAAAGTCCTTTCAGTGTATCAAAATTCATTGTTGAAGGACAGATGTACAGTGACACAAGCTGGAGATGACTGGACCAAAAACAAGTATACAATCAAACACTAGAGGGAGACATTCTCTCACAAACAGTAAAGATTTATTTGTGCAGCACCTTTCAAAACCAAAGTTACAAAGGGCTTCAAACCAAAAGGCATCAAATAGATACGATAAAAACACACATGAAACTCATAGAAGACAATGATAGTAAAACAAAAACAAACTAGAGAATATAAAACAGAGACACAGCTCTGCCTCACTGCTGCATGAAATCAACGTAAGAACTGCACAACATGCCATTAGAGAAACACAAACCTAGTCTAATGCACTATATATACTGTGTGTATATATATCTATATATATATATATATATATAGATATATATACACACAGACATATAGAAGAAATCAAAACAGTATGAAAACTAAACTACAAGGCTCAAATGTTGTAACAAAGAGCGAGTGTCACCTTCTTCCATCAGGCACAATAAAAACCACCACTCTTCAGTATTTAACATCACATGTATTGTGCAGTGCTGCAGGGTTGTTCACCTCATTTGATTTTCTCAGCATGTGTTGTTTTTTTAGTTGAATATTGCAGAACTTCCTGCTGTGGAGGATCTGCCTTTGATCAATTATATATAAACCACAGACTTGGGTCTGTAACATAAAATAAAAATATATCATTTAATGCAGATGTTTAATGTTCAGCATGTCAACAGCAAGCATCATGAATCATGTAGATGAACGAAGGTACTTTGTCTGAATGTTAAGCTGAAGCTGCTCAGGTGTTCAGTCATCTCATGCAGAGACGCTTCACATCGGCTCAGCTGCACAGAGAGAGCTGATGCTGGAGCTGATGCTGGAGCTGATGCTGATGCTGAGGGGGAAACATTTCAGATATTCAGATGGAAATTTGAGAAAATATCTGATTTAAAAACCAAAATTTAAAGCACAGGGATTTTTTTTTTTTTTTTAAATGTAACAAAAATGGATCCACTTTGATTTGATGGGCAGTGAGATTCAAACCAGTGGACACAGTTCAGTTTAAACCATGGACTTCAGCCTGACTGCTGCCGTCTGCACGGTGATCATCACAACATGCATGGTGAGTTTTCAACGAAATTCTTGTAATAAAATGTGGCACAAAAATTTTATTTACAGAAATATTAACCTTTTTAATTTATGCATCCGTGTCTACATTTGTGGTTTGCAGAAAGTGAAGCTGAAAAGTAGTTTTGTCTCCATCAGGTCAGTTCAACACATCCAGATTGTTCCATCGTTCTTCATCTGCTGAAGAAAGAAAATGAGTGTAAAGTCCAAATGGAGACAGACGCTGCATCACTCAGTTCAAGCAGTAATAAAACTGCAGGTAACTGAAAATATAAAAAAGGATGTAGAAACAAGTCCTTCCCCGCCCCTCCTCACATGTGGACGTGTCTTTGTGTCACAGGTTGTGTGGTGGAGTGGGATGGAGTGAGCTGCTGGCCGGCTGCGTCTGAAGATGAGGTCGTCTCTGTCCACTGTCCCCTGCCGCTGATGAAACCTGAAACTCCTCCAGGTGAACGAAGGTTTCACGCTGACTAATAAACAGTCCGTGAAACGAGCAGGAGTCCAACACTTGTGTCTGAGAGCTGCAGTGAAGGAAACATCGAATGGACTAAATCTAAAGAGCGGTGTAATACTGACATCACAGGTCCAGATTCTCCCGGTGTGACCACAGACACGTTTTTAACTCGCCAACGAAAACTCTCGAAAAGTATTTTCTATATTAAAGATTCTATATGTTAAATTAGCACATGAAGTGAGAGGTGTTGCTTCCAGTGACAAACCCACAGACAATCTGCATTCAGGCATTTTTTTTTCCAAGTCATTATTTTTGTTTTACAACTTTACTGTTGAGGTTCATTCTTGTTGATCTCATCTCTGACCCTAAACAATGACTGGATATTAATTATTACATACATTATGTAATGTATAATGTAAATAATTTATAAGTTGATGTCTTATTTCTGCTCCACTGTTGCCAAAAATAGCAGTTACTCCAGGTCTAATTTAATAATTAAGATATATTTTGCTTACACAATGGTAAATGGTAAATGGTAATTACATTTATATAACACTTCTCTCGTCTTAGCAACCGGTCAAAGTGCTTTACACCACAGGTCACAATCACCCATTCACACATACTGTACATTCATACAACGCTAGTTCTATACATAGCACTTCTCTAACACACTCGCACATCGATGGCACATCATCGGGGGCCATTGTGGGTTCAGTGTCCTGTTCCAGGACACCTTGACACGCAGACTGGAGGAAACCGGGTATCAAACCACCAACCTTCAGATTAGTGGACGACCTGCTCTACCTCTTGAGCCCGTTTGAAAGCCGTCTTTACAATGTGTTAGAACAATATTAAATCCCCTTTCATTTACTCGTTTATTGTACTTAGCCTGAAAACTGGATGCGGATTTGAAAAATGTTCAGTCCTCGTTGGGTCTATAAAGCCAGAGGAGCTTTGTCACAATCCTGCAGGCAGGGGAGGTGATGCTGTCGGTTCTGAGGCTCTATTTTGTGTTCTTGTAGAGACAAGCAGGTTCCAGCTGCAGTGTGAACATGTTCAGTCCCTGAAATCATTTTCTTTTCAGTTCTCATCAGCAGGAAGTGCACAGTCCGAGGGTGGAGCAAACCAAACCTGCCGTATTACAAAGCCTGTTACTCTGACGCTTATGAGCAGGATGAAGACGTGAGGAAAGAGGTAGATACACGAGGTTTACTTCCTGGTTTCCTCCTGAGTTCTACTCTGCCAGCAGGGAGCCTCAGATTAAAAAGTGTGTGATGAATATTTCATCTTTTGCTCTAGAAAAATTACTTTGAGACTGTGAAGCTGATCTACAGCGTTGGTTACGGTGTCTCTCTGGCTGCTCTCCTCATCGCCGCTCTGCTCTTCTGCTGCCTCAGGTCAGTTTTCACGTCAACTCTTCACTGAAGGATGAAAATGATCTGTGCATGCGAGTGTGATCGTGTCCTCAGCGATATTCCTCTGTCTTCTCAGGAAGCTGCTCTGCGCTCGCAACTACATCCACCTCAACCTGTTCGTCTCCTTCATGCTCAGGAGTCTCGCCGTGTTCATCAAGGATGACGTGTTGTTTGCAGACGAAAGCACGGACCACTGCACGGTGTCCACAGTAAGACTCACACAGCAGGAGGCAGTGATGTTAGAGACAAGTTAAAGCTGCAGCTCACTGTTGTTTTCATCAGGGATTCATCTGCTGATTGATTTTTTTGAGGAACTGATTAATCATTTGGTCTATAACATGTCAAAAATGCCAATCAGAGCCCAGGGAAATGTCTTTAAATGTCTTGTTTTGTCTGAGCAAAAGTTCAAAACCCCAAAGATTTTCAGTTTAGTGTCAGATGTGACGAAGAGAAGCTGTAACAGCAGAAAATAAAGCACTTTTTCTACTATTTTTGCCTGAAAAATGACCTGAAACAATCAATCAATCACCAAAATAGCTAGATGTAACGATGTAATTAAAATGCATTAGAAATCTGACTGATAATCAAACTTTAATGAATGAATTTGTCTGTGTCCCTGCAGCTCCGGTGTCAAGCAGCAGTGACGTTCTTCCACTTCTGCGTTGTGTCTAACTTCTGGTGGCTGCTGGTGGAGGCTCTGTACCTGCAGACTGTGCTGCTGCTCGTCTTCACTCAGACCAGGAAGCTGCTCTGGATCTACGCCGTCATCGGCTGGGGTTCGCGCTGCGTTCGTATGCATTTGTGCTCGTTCACCTACACTGGTCTGTGTTCTGCTCGTCCGATTCACGGTGTGATTTTATAGGTGCTCCCACGGTCACTGTTGTGATCTGGGCTCTGCTGAAAAAACAGCTCGAGGATGAGGGGTGAGTAAAAATATAAACGCAAATACTTATAATCATCTCCATTTAAATGTGATGCATGAGTTTGTGTCTGTGTTTGCAGCTGCTGGGACGACCTGGAGAGCCGTCTGTGGTGGATAATAAAGATTCCCATCCTGCTCTCCATCTGTGTAAGAAGCCTCAATCCCTCAACATATATTCATAGATTCACTACAGACAGATTCAAACAGGAGAAAATAATGAACAAGTTTATCAATGTATTAAAGCTGCGGCAGGATTTGTAATAAAAATCAGGTAAAAAATTTTAAAAAGAGTGGCTTTATTAAAGCTGCAACAGAGAGGATCAACCAGACCCTCTGCCCTAAAGATGAACTGCCTCATAGCTAATAGTCAGTGCAGGATGGTAAACATCACGGTAATAATTATTTTCATTGCCGTAAACTGTACAATAATTAAATTCTTTTTATTACGGTAAAGTATACAATAATTACATTACTTTTTGAAAAATGTACTGATTAAATGATTCAAATTGTTGACATTTGCTGCAGTTTGAAGCTTCCAACTTGCAGCGCGGCTTATTCAAGTACAGGTTAGGAGAAATCTATGATCTGGGAAATATGTTTCTATGTATTAAATGATAAATCTGGCACTTCCTGACCCCGTATGTGGCGCTCAAGTCTCACAGCCGTTGGTTCCTACTGATCTTTAAAACACACCACGCAAATATAGTTTCTTTTTTTTTTTTTTTTTTT